TTCTAGTAGCCACATTAGAAAGTAAAAAGATGTTGGTCAAAGGGAACGGACTTCCAATTATAAGATGAATAAGTTCTGGGGATCTGACATATATCACGGTGACTCTAGTTAACAATACTGTACTGTATACTTGAAAGTTGCCAAGAGCGTAGATCTTAAATGTCCTCACCATGCACAAAAAAGAGGTAATTATGTGGGTGATGGGGGCGTTACCTAATCCTATTGCGGTAATCATTTCGAGATATATACGTGTAGCAAATTATCATGTCGTACACCTTAAACTTATACAATGTTGTGTGTCAATTCTATCTCAATAAAGCTGGAAAAAAGTAAAAAGAAATAGGCGAAATCAATATTAATAATATATATGATTTAACTCAATATAGCCAAAATATTATGATTTAACATGCAACAGATAAAACCATTATTAATGCAATAGTTTACATCCTTCTTGTTGTATTAAGTCTTTGCAATCCCGTATGCATTTTTCACATATAGCACATCTCCCTTGGAATGCTAAATCCTCATCAGAAATCATTGATCTGCAGTTAGATGCCATAAAGTTTACAGTTGAAAAAGTAGATTCTCATATCCGAGTTGTTCCAAACATGCTTAAAAGTTGTCCAATAATTGAATAAAGTAGCAATTTTAAAATTTTCATTAAAATTAAATTAAAAAGTCAGTTCCTGCTCATAACCCAAGTCATAAGGAAACATCCGAAGGACACTTTACAAAACAGCTGGCCAGTCCTCTTCAAAACTGTCAAAGTCCCCAGTAAGCAGGAAAGTCTGAGAAACTGTTATGGACCAGAGGAGGCTGGGGAGACAGGGCACCTCAAGCGACTCAGGTGTCCTCGATACGACTCTGGAACAGAAAAGAACCTTAGAGGAAAAATGGGGAGAGTGGATCAAGTTTGGAGTTTAGTTAATGGTATCGTACCAATGTCATGGTCTTTGTTTTGACACATGTGCTATGATTACATGAGATGTTAACAGTTGGGGAAGCTGGGAGGGGTGTGTGGGAGCTCTCTGAACTACCATTGCAACTTTTCTGTAAATATAAAATTATTCCAAAATAAAAAAGTTAAGGGCTGGCCCCGTGGCGTAGTGGTTAAGTGTGTGTGCTCAGCTGCTGGGGGCCCGGGTTCGGAACCCGGGCATGCACCAACGCACTGCTTGTCAGGCCATGCTGTGGCGGTGTCCCATATAAAGTGGAGGAAGATGGGCACAGATGTTAGCCCAGGGCCAGTGGCATGATGTTAGCTCAGGGCTGATCTTCCTCACACACACACACAAAAATTACAAAAAAAAATCCAGGTCTTCAATTGCATTTATTTACATCTTTGTATCTCTGTTTCTTCCTCTGTGAAATGGGGAATAAACAGCACCTGTTTCACAGAGCCATTGTGGGGATTAAACAAGTTAATGCTTTTAAGAGCCTGGACCAATGCCTTCCTGTTGGAGGCACTCAGCACGTGTTAGTGTCTGTTACTATTACTGTTGCTGTGATTCTGATTGTTCATACCTAAGTGCAGAGGCCTGGACTTGACCCCCGACATTCTGATTTCGATAGTCTAGGTCCGAGCCCAGGAATCAGTATTTTATCCAGTGGCACCGGGGTCTTCATGCAGCTGGTCTGAGGCCTTGACTTTGAGAAGCGCTGGAGTGGAGGGCAGGGAAGAGGCAGCCAGCCTGGGGGACAGGCCTGTACTAGAACACGGCACTGGGACAGTCCCCCTGGGAGCCCATCGTCTGGTGCCCCTAGGGCAGCCACTGCTGCAGTCCCCTCACGCAGCACCCTCCCCTCGTAAGCCTACCAGGCATCTGTTCTGTTTGTCTCCTCTTCATCCCATTGGTGACAGAGAGATTCCTGCCCTAGGGTTATGGGGATGGCCCCACGTGACACCTGACACTGCACAGATGAGATTGACAGCAGTTTATCAGTCACAAATATTCATAGCCTGGGGGAGGAGGACACAGAAGTCCACCCAGGGCCACAGGGGGGTTGCACTCAGGAGCAGAGTGACCAAGAAGGGGCTGTGGGGGCAGGCTTTTGGTGTGAGCCTCGGTTCCTGTGACTGGCTTATTTGAATAATTCCACAGGCTGGCAGGGAGGTGAAATTCATTATGTTGGGGACTGGGTGTGGTGCGGCTGGCCGGGCTGAGAGGGGAACTAGCTGGGGGGGAGCCTTTCCCACTGGGTTGAGGACAAGGGTGGCGAGAGCAGGGGACCTCACGGTTAGGGCTTGGGGCCTGTGAGGCTCAAAGATCTTAAGGCACCACATGAAATTTTAGATCTTACAATACAGCATCCTGACTAGTTTTTAATTATTCTGCAAGACTCAGGAGCTGCACTATGTGCCCCTTCCCTGCACCTCCCCTGAACCCCCAGGAAGTCTAGGGGTTGGGAGGCACCTTTACTGGACTCCTCAAGCCACTGAGGCAACATTTCCCGCCCACTTTCCCTCTGGGTTGTAATGGTTCTGTCTGTCTTCCCCTCTAGGCTGTGAGTCTGTGGGGCAGACACCATGTCTGATTGTCTCTGTGGACCCAGCTGCCAGCCCCAGGACTGGCACCCAACAGGCTTCCATGATTGTTGGATGAATGGAAAGCCAGAGTGCAGGGCCTTGCCCAGTGCGATGGATGAAACGCGGTCATATTTGTTCTTGGCAAATGGGACTATGTCTTTTTCCCAGCCCCCTCAAAATCCATTTAAAGGAAGAGTGGTAAAGCAATAGATAAAGAAATAAAGACTTTCCTAGACTCCTCAGGGGGTAATTTCCCATGCTCGAGCTCCAATGACTAAACAGGCATGTAAAAACTTCTCCAAAACCAAGCTTCGTCTGACTTCCCAAGTCAACCTAACTCCATTAAAGGGGGTGTGGGTGTGGCTGTGTTGGCACAGGTGCATCTGAGCTCACAGGAAGCTGTTCTCTTTTCTTACAGCAATTTGGGTACACATGGAGTTGCTCCTTTAATAAATAAGAAGAAACTGCTAAAAGCCACAGAAACCAACGGCGATGGTGATGACAGACAGATGGAAGGGAACGCCAACTCCTTTAGATAAATCAGGCAAAAATGATGGTACTGTGTCCTTTGTCCTAGTGAAACCCAGTACTAACTAATTAGTAAAAATTAGTTTATTACAAGGAAGAGGTTCTATATGCTCACCAGAAGCAGCCCAGGTGGTTGACGTTAGCTTTTTGTAACTTCTACTGCATACCTTTAAGGGCCTTTGTACATCCGATCACTCCTTCTCTTTCATGGTATGGTGAATGTAGCTCTCTTAAATTTTATTTAAAATTGAGTTTTGTTAATGTGTCAGCTCATCACAGCAATCGATGTCAGATCCCCCCTCCCAGTTTTATTATGATATAATTGTCATATAACATTATATTAGTTTAAGGTGTACAAGATAATGATCTGATACATGTATATATTGCAAAATGATCGCCACAAGTTTAGTTAACATCCTTCACCTCACATAGTTACATTTTTTTTCTTGTGATGAGAACCTTTAAGATCCACTCTCTTAGCATCTTTCAAATACACAGATGTCAGACTTTAATGAGCTGGTGAGAGTTTACCAGGTGCCCGAGTTATTCAAAAGCAGGATGGGTGCTTAGGGAAACCCCTTGAAGAGCAGTGGTTCTCATGGGGCTGCCCCCTAGGGGACATGTGTCAGCACATGGAGACATTTTTGGCTGCCGAGATAGGTGGGCAGGGTGGAGGTGTCGCTCCTGGCATCTAGTGGGTGGAGGCCAGGGAGCTGCTCAACATCCTACAGTCCACAGGACGGCCCCACACCCAAGAACGATCAGACCCGAATGTCAATAACGCTGAGGATGAGAAACAAGGTTCACTTTCTTCCTCTCCTCGCTCCAAACATAATGTCCCAGGCTGCTGCCCGGCTTGTTCACTGCTGTCTCCTCGGCAACTGGCACTTATTGCGCATTTGATAATGACCTGTTGAGTGACTAAATGCCTGTCATCGAGGCCCAGAGCACGCAGGGGGAGGCGGGGGTTCCTGAGAGCTAGCACTGACCCCGCTTGCTTGAAGACAGGCGTGAAATGGCAAGTCTAGGTTTCCAACCAAATTGGGAGCAAAAAATAATAATAAAAAGGAGTGAATGAGTTCCAGCGGGTCTCTGAGCGCTTACTAGAAAGCAGGCACCCAGCCACAGTGCTAGGTGCTCGCACCAAGATTCTTATTTAAATACGGCTTCCACAACCCCACGCAGACGGGTCACGACAGCCCCTCCCGTCCCAACCCCGGGCTCCTCCCACGACCCGCCCCACGGCCGCCTTCCCCATGCGCATGCGCTCACTGCCTCCCCGCAGGACTCAGCGCATGACGTCACCACGCAAGGGGCGGAGAGCGAGCGAGCGGTGTTACCATGGTGACCGCGACGCGCTCAGAAACGTCCACAAGTGACGGTCGAGCCCCCCATAACAGACCCCAAGGCTCGCAAACTGGCGGGCCACTCGCGAGGCAGGACCTGGGAGGCGGGGCCAACGAAAGAAAGCAGCAACGCCTGGGTCGCGGACATTTCTCACTCCCATCAGCGACCCTGTCGCTCGGCGGCCACTTCCGGATCCAGGGTCGGGTCGCCAGCTCCCAGCCCGTCCGCAGCGTGCAAAACTACAACTCCCAGAAGACTTCGCGGCCACCTCCCTCCTTCCTTCCCGCTTCCCCAGCAATAACTGCTGGCCAAAGCATTTACAGGCGCTTTCTATCCATAGAGTCATGCCTCGATGTAAGTATTTGTATCGCAACCTCCTTTTTACTAACAGGTGCGCCTCTCGTTTCTCTGCCCCTTTGAGACTACAATACCCAGAAATCTCTGGGCCGCTCTTCCCCAAGCCCTCAGTTGTAGGGTTGCCTTGGAGACAGCGAGACGCCGGAAACCTGACCAATGAGGCGGGGCCAAGCTGGAAGAAGGATTCCGATTGGAGGACAGGCCACGCCGCCTGCTTTAAAGGACCGGTCAGGGGTGCACATGCGTATTGCGTTGGCCCCGCGCGCATTCTCTGTCGGGGAGGCTGGGGGTCCGCAAGGCTCCGGCGAATGGGCGATGTCGGAGGTCGAGTTGGGGGGAGGCGGAGTCTGCGCGTGCTCAAGGCCTCGCCCCCAAGCCAGGAGTGCGGGCTCCGAAGTGCCCCGGGAGGTGAGTGAGACCTCCGGCTCCCCTGCCCCGGTTTCGGGATGAGATTCTCAGTCTCCATGGTAACGTTCCTTCTCGCTCGCATGTGACGTCATAGCTCCCCCTCTAGGGGGAGGGGAGAGAGCAAATTTGAAAGTCGTGGATTCTGAGCCGCGCCTCCTCCTCCGGGCCGCCCACCCTGAATCCCCCACCCAGCGAACGGTGGGCCGGTATCTTTTCATCCTTTCTGGGCCTCGGTTTCCTTTCTCGTGAAATGATCTTGGGAGCTCCTCCTCTGCCGCTTACTAGCTTTGGGACCCCAGGCAAGGTACATAGGCTCTGTACCTCAGTTTCCCCATCTGAAATGAGGATGATAATAGGGGCCGGCCCTGTGGCGCAAGCGGTTAAGTGCGCGCGCTCCGCTTCAGCGGCCGGGGGTCGCAGGTTCGGATCCCCAGCGCACAGATGCACCGCTTTTTGGTAAGCCATGCTGTGGCGGCGTCCTACATAAAGTGGAGGAAGATGGGCACAGATGTTAGCCCAGGGCCTGTGTTCCTCAAGAGAAAAGGGGAGGATTGGCATCGGATGTTAGCTCAGGGCTAGTCCTCCTCATAAAATAAAAATAATAAAATAAAATGAGGATGATAATAGAATTTGACCCGTAATGTTGTTGTGAGGATTAAGGAGCCTTGGGATAGTGCCCCGCACACAATGACCACTCGAGTGTTAACGTCTCTGATTGTCATCATGTTTTTTTAGGGCATTTGATCAGGTCCCTTCCCCCTCTGGGGTCTCAGTGTGTTGATCTGCAAATTCTTCATATTGGGTTTTTTTTTTTTAAGATTTTATTTATTTATTTTTCCCCCCAAAGCCCCAGCAGATTGTTGTATGTCATAGCTGCACATCCTTCTAGTTGCTGTATGTGGACGCGGCCTCAGCATGGCCGGAGAAGTGGTGCGTCGGTGCACGCCCGGGATCCGAACCCGGGCCGCCAGCAGCGGAGCATGCGCACTTAACCGCTAAGCCATGGGGCCGGCCCGTCGTATTGGGTTTTGTGAGCACGCAGCTTTGTTCTCAGCACACAACCGATGACTTTGTTCTCCCAGAGGGATGCTTCAGGGTTTGGTGGTAAGACACCAGAATTCCAGAAATCTGCCGTTGTCTCGTCCACTGCTGTGTGACCCCAGTGAGTTTTAACCCTTGACAAGCCCTGGATTTCCTCAAGTGGAAAATGATGGGGATGGACTTCTAATTCTAGCTTCTGGTCCAGGCACTGCCCCTAACTTTGCTTGGTGACCTTGGGCAAGCTTTCTGATCCAACGTTGCACCATCTGTGAAATAACCAAGGAATGCACAATTGAACTTGGAGGTAGCTTTCTGGGCTAAAATTGCAGTCGGTAGATCTGGTGCCCCACGCAGACGTCATCCCACTGTTACTCTCCCTTTGTGGTGGCGGAGTATCCTTCACCTCTTAGTCTCAAATAGGCCTTCACCCATTGCTCATCAGTACTTGTTTTCCCAATTGTGTAGCAAAAATGGGCCCACCCATGTTTCCCTCACCCCTTTCTGAAACAGGAGTGTTAACTAAGCCGGTGCCCTGCATGACCCCTGGTGGCATAAGGCATCGGCAACATTGAGTCATGTGGTCAGGAAGTTATTATTTTTCAGTTCCCTTTCAGGTTTTCTCATTAGTGAGGGAGTGACCGTATCTATCCCAGCTCCAATGCCTACCCATCTCTTATATCAGAGTATATCTTGTTTCATTGTATTTACTGTAAGAATCTGTTTTCTCTTTATGGCAGGTGATACTGGCTTTCCATTGGGGCAGTACAATGAAGTTTCATTATTAAAATAGTTTTTGAACATTCAGTGGTTCTTATTCTTGGTTGTACATCAGAGCCACTTGGAACTGTAAAAAAAAAAAAAAAAAAGAATACCAGCCCCACCTCTGGAGATTGGTTCAGATTTTCTTGGTTGTAGCCCAGTGCATTGTGTTTTAAAAACTCCTCAGAAGATTCTAATGTGTAGTAGGATTGAGAAATACCGACTAGATGATCTACAGAGGTCTGTTGTGCTCTCACATTCATTAATTTTTTCATTCCTAAATCCTAAAGAGGTCTCTGCTTGTCCCCCCTTTGGCATCCTTCATTTGGTCACTAGCCCCTTCATTTAAACTCATAGTCACCCCATCACCTAAACTAACAGCTAGGGACGGTTCGCTTGCCTTGCCTCTTCCAGTGTGTAACAGCTGCTGGCATTCTGTGCTGCTATGGGCTGAATGTTTGTGTGTCCCCCACCCCCGCCCCAAAATTCATATGTTGAGTCCCTAATGGCCAATGTGATGGTATTTGGAGGTGGGGTCTTTGGGAGGTAACTGGGTTTGGATGATGGAACCCCCATGATGGGTAACTGGGTTTGGATGGTGGAACCCCCATGACGATCCGGATTGGTGCCCTTATAAGAGGATGAAGGGACCAGACCAGAGCTGTCTGCATCCATTGAGCCACACGACCTCCTGGAGGCAGGAATTCAAGTCCATGTTTTATAGACGGTCGCTCAGACGTTAGGAGGTGGAGCTGGGATAAACGTGTTTGGAGCCAGGGCCCTTTGTGGACATCGCGGTGCTAAGCTGGGGAGGTGGGTGTAGGGTACTCACCCAAGAACATAATTTTTTTTTCCCCTTCTGGAAACCCCTTGGATGACATGTGCATTTTAAAACTCTTTCAGGTGGAGCGACTTAGCCGGAGGCACGGGAGCAGGGACGTTTCTGGAGAGTAAACCCATGAGGACACGATGGAGGTCACTCAGTGCCCTGAGCCCCGAGAGGCCTGGAAGCAGGACCCAGCCGACGACCAGGAGCTGCTCTTGGGGGAACTGACCATCGTGGAAGGTGAAGGCCACGGATGTTATGGGTTTGGGAGGAACGCCCGCCGGACTGTCACCAAGCCTCGGAAAACTCCTCCGGATGAGAGGCAGCACCAGTGCGCCATCTGCGGGAAGAGCTTCGAGCAGCATTCAGACCTGCTCAACCACCAGCGGATCTACAGGGGGAAGAAGCCCTTCAAGTGCAGCGAGTGTGGCAAGGCCTTCAGTTACCCCTCGGCCCTGATGGTGCACCAGAGGACGCACACGGGCGAGAGGCCGTTCCCCTGCGCGCAGTGCGGCAAGGCCTTCAGCCACAGCTCGGCGCTGCTGCTGCACCGGCGCGTGCACACGGGCGAGCGGCCCTACGCCTGCAGCGACTGCGGCCGCGCCTTCTCGCAGAGCTCTTCGCTCATCCTGCACAAGCGCACGCACACCGGCGAGCAGCCCTATGACTGCCCCGCGTGCGGGAAGGCCTTCACCCGCCACTCGGCCCTGGTGGAGCACCAGCGGGTGCACACGGGCGAGAGGCCGTACGCGTGCAGCTGCTGCGGCAGGGCCTTCAGCCAGAGCGCGCACCTAGCGCGCCACCAGAAGGTGCACGTGGCGCAGAAGGCGCACGGTTGCGGGGACTGCGGCAAGGCCTTCCGCTCGCCCGCCGCCCTGCTGCGGCACCGGAGGATCCACACGGGCGAGCGGCCCTTCGGGTGCCCGGTGTGCGGGAAGGCCTTCACCCAGCGCCCCTACCTGGCGCAGCACCTGCGTGTGCACTCGGGCAAGAGGCCCTTCGAGTGCGACCAGTGCGGGAAGGCCTTCGGCAAGTGCGCGCACCTGGCGCGCCACCGCGGGACGCACGCGTGTGCCCGGGCGCGGCCGGGGAGGGCGCACGCCGGGGAGGGGAGGCGCCCCACGAGCGCGAGGACGCCGGCGCTGCCTTGGGGAGCTCCTACCTGCTGCCGCCCCACGCCTGCGGCTTTAGGCGCGGCAGAGGCCTCGCCCAGTATCGGCGGCTGCACACCCTCTAACCTGTGTCCCAAACTGGGGGGCACTAGCTAACCGGCGTCACAAATGGGGGTTGGACGGTGGTATGGCCCACTTGGTTCATCACCTCGGAGACACGGGGTGGAATTTGGGGAAGGGAATCAACAGCAGAACCTCCTTGAGAGGCCTCGTTATGCTCCCCTTTGAAAAATATATTGGAAAGCCTTATTTTGTCAATCTCGGAGTTTCTGTGCCTCTTACTTTGGAGCTGAACATGAGACTGTAGGGATAATGGGTCATCGGGCCCCTTGGCTGCACTTCCCCGTGCGGGCGCCCGCTCTGGGCCGGAGGGTCGAGGAGGTGAGAGCACTGCTTCAGAACGTTCCTCTGTGGAGGCCAGGAGACCAGGGCCTGGGAACTTTTTAGGCATCTCCATATGTATATACGTGGGTGAATAGCTTTCTAGTCTGCCCAGAGCGCTGCATGTGCGCCAGGTACCGGCCTAAGCGCCTGACAGAGGGAAGGCATTGAATCCTTGTGCCACCCCTTAGCTAGCACTGTTGTCGCCTCCATGTTACAGGTGGGAAGACCCGGGCTCCAGAGGGGAAACCAGAGCTCAGCGCCACCTTGGCAGCTGGGCCCAAGGAGCTCACTCTTAACCACTAGGCAACTAGTAATCAAGATGACGCTCCTTGAGCCCTTGTCAGACACCCAGTGGACATTCTCTCGTCTCATTCTTCTGGCGACCTCCTGGGGCCCGGTCTCATTCTGCTTTCCCGGGTGAGAAATCGTTGGTGAGGTAGCTCAGCCAAGCCTGCTGGCCCCTCGGGGTTCTTCCTGCTGCGCTGCCAGGGGCCCGCAGTCCTCCTAAGACAGCGTATGGGGAATTGATGGGGGGTGGTCCCTGCCTCCTGCAGCATGCCCAGTCTTTGCCCAGCCCCGTGGAGGCATGAAGGTGTGGGTGGCTGCTGTTCCACTTTCCTGAGAAAGAGTCAGGAGAATGTGTACTCTTCGTGTTTTAAGACTTCATCAGTCGTCATAGTAACAATCTTTTGGCCTTGCAGGCTGCTGGATCGTAAGATGTGGTTGGCCTTTGTTCCCTGGTCCCTGGGAGGGAACCTGAAACCTTTGGAATTTGTTTTACCATGGTGGGCCCCTTGGACCACACATGAGCTTATGCTAACAAGGTGCCTTGTGGTGGGCCCCTGGGTAGCTTCGGGATGGGGGCTGGTCATGCTGGCAAGACCACCCTTGTGATTCGAGGGTTGGGGCTTTGTGATATAACCCAAGCTCCAGGGAGGAGTCGGGGCTGGAGATTGAGTTAAATAATGTGGCCGGTCATCCAGTCATCATGCCTACCTAATGAAACCCCAGTAAAAACCCTGGACCCCCAAGGCTTAGGTGAATCTCCTGGTTGGTGATAAATGTCAGTGGGCCACATCCTGAGGACACACAAGCTTACATTTGGGACTCTCCCAAACCTCCCCATGGCTGGCCCTGATTTGTATCCTTTATAATAAAACTGTAACCATAAGTATAGGGCTTTCTTGAGTTCTGTGACATTCTTTTGAGTTATCGCGCCTGAGGGGGGTAGTGGAACCTGTGAACTCATAGCCAGTCTGTGCAGAAGTGAGGGGGCCTGGGAGCCCTGGAGCTTGTGACTAGTGTCCGAGTGGGGGCGATCTTGTGCCCTCAGCCTGTGAAGTCTGGCCTGACATAATCAAATTCCCTCTAATGGTATTGTGATTTTATTTCCTTTTTTGCACATTAGGTTTGGTCTGGAATTAGTGGTCAGACGGCAGCGCTCCAGCCGAGGGTGCGGTGGGGAAGGTGATGAATGAGCTGGCTGGCTGCTTCCCCCTGTGATAAGCAAGATCTCCTTTGATAATGAATTGGGCTGCTTAAAAAACAAAGTGTGACCCCTGATCTAGACCAGGCATCTGCTTTGTCACTGCTAACTCGAGCTGCCATTTCTGGGAGGTTTTCCCGTGCAACGAGCAAAATCCTAAGACCTGGACCTGACTTCGCTCCCCAAACAGCCAACGCAGATGGGGGGGCTCCTGCTCCCTGATATAATGCATCCTGCTTACGGGTTTGCACTCTGCATCCTGTCCTGGGTCTGGATCTTGACTCTGGAGCTCCCTAGCCATGGAGCCGGAGCGATGGCAAGAGTTTCAATTCCTCAAGTTTAAAGTGGCAGATTGCGTCTCTTCCCAGGGTTGTTACAGAGTAAATGGGCCAGCAAAGGCAGCTCTTAAGACAGGGCCCAGCACAGGTGTTCAATAATCGTTGGGGATTGTTTTCCTTTTTTTCTTTTGATAGTAAATGTAAAGAGGCTAGCACATAATTGTTTTCAAAAATGATACATATTATCTGTTTAATAGAATTTGTATCAGCTAATAATAGCTACTATGTACCAAATACTCATGTGCCAAAGCCTGTAAAGCGCTTATACTACTAAACCTTCACTGCAGCCCGGTTTATGTGTTCCTCTCGACCCTCCCCATTTCACCAGTAAGAACACCAGCCTGGAGCGGCCCCCTCACTTGGGCAGGGGGCCACTGAGCAGGTGGACAGCCCAGCACACCTGCTTAATGTCAGAACCTCCGCTGTTAGCCACATTGTCTTCCTACCTCTGATACTGTAGTGATTATGTAGCATATACAGGTGTGATTTATAATAAGAAATATATATTTGGTCTTTGTCCACATTCCTGACACAGAGCTCCTAAAGCCCTTGGAATTTCATTAATGATGAGAACGATAAAGTTGCCTTTTATATGTTAATGAGGTGACTTTTGGAAAGCACCTGAGGATGGGCTGGTTGCCAAGGAAGTAACCACCTAATTGGAGGGTTGGAACTTGCATGTTGAATCAATTGCCAATGACCAATGATTTAATCAATCCTGTCTACGTAATGAAGCCTCCATAAAAACCCAAAAGGATGGGTTCGGAGAACTTCTGCGTTGGTGAATACGTGGAGATGCAGGGGGAGTGGTGCCCTGGGAGAGGGCATGGAAGCTCCCCGCCCCTTCCCCATACCCTGCCCTATGTGTCTCTTCCATCTGGCTGTTCCTGATTTCTATTATAGTAAACCCATAATCTAGTGAGTAAAATGTTTCTCTGAGTTCTGTGAGCCGCTCTAGCAAATTAATCGAACCCAAGGAGGGGGTCGTGGGAACCTCTGATTTACAGCTGGTTGGTCAGAAGCACAGGTAACATCCTGGTCTTACGATTGGCATCTGAAGAGGTGGGAGTGGTCTTGTGGGACTGAGCCCTTAGGCTGTGGGGTCTGATGTCATCTCCAGGTAGATAGTGTCAGAATTGAGTTGAATTGTAGGACTCCCAGCAGGTGTCGGGGAATTGCTTGGTGGTGTGTGAAAAAGACACACGTTGTAATTGGCATCAGAATTGGAACACGTAACCCCTTTCTGGATTCTGGAGTCCTCCCGGCCTCCAGGAAAGGCGCCATCTTTCTTTTTGACTCTAAACAAGACCAGGGTATGAGTGCCCCTGAGCAGAGGGATCTCCAGCCTTGGGAAGGTCTGATGGTGACACACGGCCCTCTTCCCTCCCTTCCCAATGCCTTTCCGCCAGCACGGATGGTATCCACCCCACAGGGCTGGGGGAGGCTTAGATGTGTTGACCTCAGTGGCTGAGGGCCAGCTGAGTAATAGGTCATTACTACTTCATGCAAATTAAAATCTAAAAACCCCTCAGGCTTATGGGTCTCAAACTGTGGTCCCCCAACCAGCAACATTTGCACCCTCTGGGAGCTTGTTAGAAATGCACATTCCCGGGCCCCTCCAGACTGTGGAACCAAAGACTCGGAGAGTGGGGCCAGCAAGCTGTGTGTTCACTGGCCCTCCAGGTGATTCCTAGGTGCTCAAGGTTGAAAATGGGGTGGAGAAGAGACAAAATTAGGATCATTAGGAAACTTAGCAGATTGGGTATTTTTTTTTTTAGCTGAGGAAGATTCGCCCTGAGCTAACATCTGCTGCCAATCTTCCTCTTTTTGTATGTCAGCTGCCGTCACAGCATAGCCACTGACAAGTGGTGTAGGTCCACACCCGGGAACTGAACCCAGGCTGCTGAAGTGGAGTGCACCCAACCCCAGAGCTGGCCCTGGGTATTCTTCACTGAGTGAAGAGGGAGAGGGAAGCACTCTACTCCGAGACTTTTCTTGGTGGCTTCTGCCCACAGGAATGGTCAGGTAGGGAGCATTAGGTGTCCTACAGACCCGTGAGAAAGTCACAAGATTCCTTTTTGTTTCTTCAAGGCTCATAAAAATTGGAATAGCTGTTAAATTACAGCACAGTCTGGTCCTTTGTAGTTGCAAAGTTTAGCAGCAACGTTACAGTATTTACTTAATCTCTTGCACCTTGGAATCATCTGGGGAGGTGGGGGCTCCGTCCCAGAGGCTGGGCTTCAGTCGGCCCCAGGAGATGCTGCACCAATTGTTTAAAGGAATGGTAGTTATGTGACAGGGTGGAGGTGTTAGCTAATGCTGCGCTGTGATCGTTTTGTGATGTAAATCTATCAATTCAACACGCTGTCCACCTTAAAGTTACACAATGTTGTATGTCAATCATATTGTAACCACAGGCCCTCCAGGACCAGTTCAACTGACCCCATCTTATCAACAGAGTAATTAAGAGTGCTGTTTCAGGAACTGAGACCCCCTGTCCAGTTCAGGCCAGTTGAGACCACCAGCCCATTAACTGGGCCTGTGCAAATGCCTGATAAGTGACCCTTTTGATGTCAAGGGGCTGAAAACTCCACTCTCAGATCATGCTAACACCACCATTTTGTGAGCATGTGTTTTATGAAGAGCCGTGAAGCTTGATTACACTTGCGCAGGTCATCAATTACCTCACCTCTCCTCACCTCCAATCATCTATCTCCTCACTGCAGACCACCCTGCCCTTCATGCCATAAATTTGCCCCAAGCCCTGGATCAGGAGACAGATGTGAGAGCATATGCTCCGGTCTCCTTGCAGACAGATCTAGCAATAAAACTGTTTTCTTTTCCCAAAAGCTGATGCTGTAATAATTGGCTTTTTTTTAAATGTGCGT